GAAATCCGATGGACAAGGTATAATTTACAGATGTTATTACACATAGGCAGACATATACATGTATATATATATAAATGTGAATTATTTTGTTAATATGTGTCTCATAAGCCAACTTAATGGCTGGATATTGATTGTTTAAATGTGTATTTTTATTACGTTATTGTATATTAATCATGTTAATGTACAATCAACATGATCAATATATATGTGACACAATAATAAAATAAAATTTATACATGAAGAATAATAAATAATGCTTTGAGGAATTTGAATTAATTGATTTTATATTTATTACATTGTATTAGAAAGAAAAATTATCTTCAGTGTTGAAAAAAAAAAATTCTGACATTGAAATAAGTTTAAAAATTATAAAGTGTTAATATAAACTAAAAAAAAGTATAAAAAGATATTGTCCTGTAAAAACTAAACTGACACTAATTACATGTACAAAAGCAGCAGAAAATCATCTCTTTTAATAACAAAATTACCACTTTCAATTTCAAGTACCTGGTTGATTAATTGGAATGAAGTACATGTACAGATATTATTTTGTCTTCTTATAAATCTGACAGACAATAAATAGCTAGCTATTGCAAAGTATTCCTTATCAACATGAGCCAAATCTTTAGTACTTCCCTAAAAACTTTGCTGATACACAATTATTTATGCTTTGTCCACCATACATGTATATATAAATATATATATAACATAATTTGATTAAATCATTACTTCTAACAATACTGGTATACTGGTATACAATCATATTCCAGTATTGTAGTATTTTTTGAAAAAAAACAACAATGCAATACATGATAAAGATATCATACCAGTATTGTGATCACCAAAGTCAGGTGATCCCATATTTCTAATAACTGACATTTTCCCCAGAATGTTTATTCCCCCACCCCTGCTGAGGGGGCATTAAGTGTAACCCTTGTCCTTCCGTACGTACTGGTATGTACGTCCAAATATTAGTTTCCTTTCCCTTACTTTGGTTTGCCTCAACCAAATGTTATGAAACTTATGTTCGAATTTTGGTGGTGTCATTGTTACCGTTCTAGAGTTATGCCCCTTTATAAACGGAAAAATTGCTTTAGTTTGCCTCAACAAAATGTTATGAAACTTATACACAATGCTTATTACCATTAAACACAATTTGGGTGGCATCACTTTTACAGTTCTCTTGTTATCAGTGATCTGGAAGGATTTTTTCTCTATGGGCCCAGGGCCCCCCAAAAATAAATTCAATGGGCCATTTTTAGAATGAATGGGCCATGTTGTCAAATGAGTGGGCCATTCGTTTACAATAAAAAAAATATAAAAAAAGTGTATATTTCACTGTACTTAAAAGTATGATTCTAATTAATATCATGGATATTGTTCCTGTGATTTTGTAATTTCAATTTCAATGAATATACAATAACTTTTACCAAACCGGGCAATATTTACGATAACCTTTATTTACAATGTTAAAACTTGTACTGTTCCCTTGTTCATGTTCATGTTTTTTTTTACATTAAATTTGGGTCTTCGTCGATACCATACTTATTCCAGACGTTCCGTATTAGAGGACGTTTCTGGCATTTCCTCTGCACTTGTATTATTATTACTTCATCACGATGACAAGAATAACAGTAGAGAGCAACGTTAATTGATAAGACACAACAACAATTCGCTGAAGGCATGTTTACAAAATTCAAAACTAGCCAAAGACCAAAAAAATTGACAAGGACAGTTAAGCCCCTTTTATGGAGACAAATACTATGCTATTCATAAAAAGGCTTTTGGATTTTTCAATCGAAATAATAGCAAGCTTACTTAAAAGATTATAATTAGAGAAGAATTATCGCCTGTACTAGCAAATTTAAAGTTGTTTACATGATAAAAAATTATATCATGAATGATGGTTAATTACGTTTTTTGGGTAATCAGTCATCCCGCATGTTGCTATAGCCTGGGATCCTGTGACTCTTTTCACAATAAATCTTACGATTAAAATTGATCGTAAGTTATACTGAAATGTTTATGACTTACGAGTATTTTTACTCTTAAGTTTTTTTGTGAAAAGAGCCGCTGGCCAACTGCTTGACAGTAGTATTAGATTGGGTCAGGATGCCAGGCTAATGTTGCTATTATTACCATAGGAAAACACCCGAGACGTCCCAAAAATATATAGGTGCTCCTATCATTGGAGTAAACACTACACAGTTGTGTACTCACACATGGCGGTACGAAATACGACCGGAAATCCATTTGACGATATCTCAACGTTTCAAAACGAAGTGAAAAATATCATGCGTCACACGGGCGCTTACATTTGTCACTCTATGCGCCAATTCTGGTCGATAAGCGCAATTGGCGCAAGGCGCACGTCCTTCCCGATCACTGGTTATGTCTCTTTATAACGTTATATACATACATGTATGCAAGTGGGGACATCAACTGTGTCCCATGGACACATTTTCCAGTTATTTATATTTAACACTATTTAATAAGTACTCTATAAAGCTTTATGATGGCTAAATTATCTTCAGCCATTGCCAACTGATTCCTGCCATCGTTATATTATCTTCCGCTATTGTCAAATGATCTCCACCTTTGTCAAAATATGTTTGTTTCGCTAGCCGCCACCCTTTTTCTTCGCAATTATAATCAATTGCATGTAATTGTATTATAATCCAAAGGGTCCCCCTGATTATAGAACTTTGTAAACAAAGCCCTCAGGGATATCCGGCTATAGATCGCTAATCACTTGTACAGGTAGATCAACACACCTAGGCCTGACAGGAGAACATTTTATCAAGATAGAAGCTTAATTGCATTATTTATTTACGTTTCAGCAAATGCTCATGAAAATTTAGATTAAAAAGTAAATTTTAAATCCAGTTACGAAGAAAAAAATTTAACAAGTCGAACACGTGCTTTTATATTGACTTCTGCAATCAGTATCCCCCTTTTTAAATGAGTACAAAATAAGAAGTAAAACAGAACATAATTTCATGCCAAATAACACGAGTACAACAATTATCGATATTATTGAATCACTTTACAATTTTAAAAGTATCAAAATACATGAATACTAACTGCTGCTGAAACTTGATAATTTGAAGGTATTGCGTATCATAATTCTGAATTCATTTCATTGCTTACAATCAAATTAATACTTCCAGTTTACATTCAGAATCGAAAGATGCATGTCGCATAGTCTATTACTATGAAAGGAGTTGGTTCATGAACTCATAATTTTGGCCCTAAAATTCAGAAATTTTTTAACTGCAATAATATTGTGAAATTTTTCTGAAAACATATGTTAGAATGTCCAATTATTTCAGTTAAAAAAAAGATTTTCACCAATTGCGTCATTGGTGATGTAAATTGTGACGTCGTATATGTAGCTGAATTTGTTACCTACATTGTACTGATTTTCTGCATAATTTGGGAAAAGATATGACAATTTTCAAAAAAAAATTAACAGTGATGCCACCCCTCACCAATGAATATTCATTTTAAAATGTTTTAAACATACCATGTTCTTTACTTTTCAACCAAAATTTCATTGGGCAAGGGGTGGCACCACATATGAAATCATGAAGTAAGGTCGAAAAAGATGACAAATTTCTATAAAAATGGACTAAAATAAAATCTATTCCTTTTCAGGCTAATATACTTATAATTTATGAAGCAGATATACAATTTTTGGTATTATACTTTAAAAAATAATACATTTAGCTATACATACACAGTAGATTTATTCAAACAATTAAAGTTTAAAAATCACACTTTTACAGGGCCGTTTAGTGGTGTTACTGGCTCTACTCCTTTGCAGTTAAAAGTCATTTAAACCATTTTAAGTTGTAAAAGTTTGCCCTCCAAATCTGTATTCAATGTTTTACAAAACGTCATATGAAAAGTTTCCAGGTCTACTTCAATAATTCCTCAACACACTGGATTCTATTTCCTTTATAATTTTATGCAATAAATATATGAAAATAGGCCTTTCTTACATCATGTACCTCTACAAATTTAAAGTGTAGACAATTTAAAAGGGAACCAGGCCATCGTTTCAGTAACAATTTTACGATTCATAGGATGAACATAACTTAAATCATGTACCTCTACGAATTTAAAATGTAGACAATTTAACAGGGAACCAGGCGATCTTTCAAGTTACAATTTTACAATGCATAGGATGAACTTAACGTAAATACTATTCAACCGATCAAGACAACGGAGTGGGTTTGAATTACGACCGCTTTCTTTTTGTTGTTATCTAAATAAAATGAAACTAAAGTTCAGAGAATACTTTGTATCTGATATAGTTTTGATTAGTACGTTTCAATAGACAAAAACACAAAAAAGAATTAAATGGGAAAAAAAAAAGATGAATAACCTAAAAATGTTTGTACATTCATGAGCCAAGGTAATTCTGGGACATAATATATTGTATAATAGTCCCAGGTAATTGCAGCTTTGATTGGTATAAACATGTCAAGGTATTTGGCACTTATTCTTTTGTGCAGCTAAAAAGCAATGCAAATGCTCCTTGTCATGCAAGTCTTGACACTTTCACAACAAATCATTAGCTAAGACCCTTACTAACTGAATATTTGATTTTCTGTCAGGACATGCATTTTTCAGAATGTGACAGGCTAGGGTTAAACATGCTTGTGAGTGTTCAACCCTCCTCTCACATGACTAACCTGGGACAGAGGTGTTACAGCACAACATAAGAACAAAGTCATTTGCAAATGGCTTAAATACAACTAAATACATATGTAAATGGATATGACACACACAAAAACCAAATAACATAAAAACAGGGTTGTTTTTCGATTCTGAGAATATTGAGTAAAACCTGTAAAAAATGTCTAAATCATTATGGCCGTATTATTATTTTTGAGACTACAGATTAAAAACTACAGAATTTTTATGGTTGTTCCCCTCTTGCATGTCTTGTTCAAGTTGTTGTTAATGGTCAACACAAATCTTCTCTTTTTCAGATGGTGCCTATGGAGTATTTGCAGGTAGAGATGCATCAAGAGGTCTTGGTACGTTCTCACTTAATGAGGAGGCTCTAAAGGATGAATATGATGATCTGTCAGATCTCAATCTAGAACAAATGGAAAGAGTCAAAGAATGGGAGATGCAATTTACAGGTAAATAAAACTGGTGTAATAGAATCCGCAATACTGTGGATTCATCATTATTCGTGGGATACCAATTTTTCCTAGATATCATTAGTATAGGTAACCCACGAATTAAAATGTTCAACGAAGTACATATGTTCTCAGGCTTGTGTGCAAAATTTGGCAAAATCACAAAAATAAGGGAACACCCATTTAACTTCAAGGAGGGGTTATGGTTTTTACCTAAAAAAATATTCTGATCCCCAATTTGATGAAAACAAATATTGTGGTCAAGCAGATGACTAAAAAAATATTCTGAATCCAGATTTTCCCCATACCTTAGTTTAAGTTTTGAAAAAAATAATTTGATTGATAGCGTCGAAAAACTAAAAAAAAAATTCACGCTTTGCTCGAAAAAAAAAATTCTGACTCAAAAACCATAACCCCCCCTTGAAGTTAAATGGTTGCTCCCTAAACAGTCAGAGCTCAGACATAAATAAGTCTAAATCTGCTTTTGACTCGTAGAGGTCTAAATTTGTAGGTTTCAAGATTTGTCTCCCTTTCAGGGATGGGCACGATTACTGACAAATGTAATCAATTAATAATCGATTACTTGAAGGATTTTTGTGCAATCGATTAATAATCGATTACTCAAATTGTTGTATGTAATCGATTGCAATCGATTACTTTATCAAAAGTAATTACATTACTTTTCGATTACTGTCAATTACATGCTTCAAAATTTTAACAAAAAAATAAAGTTAGTTAAACACAATTATTTTGCTCAAAGTTTGTATAGTGGAAATTTCGAACTTTACCAAAAACAGCATTTAAAGCATTGTTTCCAAATTATAAGTTGACAGTTGTTTTAGATGGAATCTCTTACTGAGAATCAGAAATATTAAAATAAATCTTGAAATTTTGACTTTCAACATGAATGAAAGATGATATTGCATTGCATCAATCACTTATTTATATTTAAGGTTTTTTCAAAAATTTTGCTTTCATACTGACTTAAGTTAATGTTTTTGTTTTTACTCATTAAAAACAGGTATATTTTAGCATAGTTAATTACAATGTTGGAAGTTTTCTCTGACAAAAATATAAAAAAGTAGAATAATTAATTTGTTCAGCTAATTTTAGAGATCAAAATTTATAATTATATGCATAATTTAATCCTTTTGTTTGGATAACCACCCTAATTACAGGTTATAAAACTGCCATTGGAGTACAATTTATAACCTGGGGCAAATATAATGTAAATCTCCCTCTTAATTAGACATACAGTAATTGAAATAAAAACAAAGTCTGTATCTTATTGATTAGAAGACTTTGATCATCTGATTAGTAAAGACAAGAAGTTTGTTAAGATTTTTTTATTCTCTAATCAAATTATAAACAATGTATATTTATAGTGTCAAAGAGGGATACATATATCTATTTCTGAAAAGAATTTCAATGCATAGCCATTGGTTCATTGTTAAAAGGATTTTGTGTACTTTCTCAATTTTTATATACATGTATATCATAACATTATAAGAAATCAACTGTTTATCTATTCTTAGTATAAATTTCAACTCTTATTGAAAATTATGCTTAAAGGAATTTTAATACAAATAAGCTTACTACTTTAATGTAGTACAGAACTTAACTTAAGACACATTTCTTATTCGAAATCTATTTTCTTATTTCAAATCTATTTTCTTATTTCAAATCTATTTTCTTATTTAAATATAAAAGGTCTTGAATTGTTGACAAGCACATAAATCCATTTGTTTCGAAAGCTAGATATAAAGTAAATTTTGGAAGGGGATCTGGTTGAAAATAATGCAGCTCGAGACAATAGATAGAAATAAGGCAGTTGATAAACTCTTTAAGTCATATCAATACATTCTATTTTATCTGTACTACAAAGTGATGAATACATATACATATTTCCATTTAAAATAGGTTATATATCTTCAAACAATTTTACAAAAGTAATCGAAATGTAATCGAAAAGTAATCGATGATTACATCATAATTTTTGCTGTAATCGATTAAATTACGATTACATGTAATCGAAAATGTCTTAGATTACAGATTACTGTCGATTACTGGAAAAAATGTAATCAATTACAATCGATTACGATTACAGATTACGATTACCCCATCCCTGCTACCTTTAATTTAAGACAAATTATGACTTCTATAAGTCAATTAGTGTTAAGCAAGAAATATTTGACCTGAATTAAAAAGTTGCAAATATTGACTCCTACAAGTCCATAAGTTACCAAAATTGGTTAACTTCAAGACCCAAGCATATTTATAAAAAGTTCATGCATCTACATGAAATTATGACAACATTGAAAGACAATGCTTTGTCTTCTAAAGAAAAATATGCATGAGAGCCTAAAAAAACAGAGATAATGTTTATTTACTTTACAATGCAACCATCTATAACCACACAAAATGAGGAAAATAATCTTATTTCAAGTAAAAATGTTCAATCAGATGATTAAATATAGATAGCTCAGGTCCTTGTGAACTCTCAGACAGGTTTATGATGTCATAGGTGGTTTACATTGGCCACCAATTAAAATTAAGTCTTTTCATAAACATAATTAGACCTAAACAAGTCTGTCATTTTCTGACTTAAATAAGTCTGAAAATGAAAACACATTTTTATAACAAATACATTTTTTTTCACTTCTGTAAGTCAAAAACAAAAAACGACTTGTTTGTATCTGAGCTCTGACTGCTAAATATCCATATAAAATGCCATTTGTAGTCAATCCAAGATTGAAGAAAATTGGTACCCACGAAAGTTGATGAATCCTCTGTACATCAGGGGTCACCACACCAGGCAAAGTGACCAACTATGTTGCCCTACCACTCCCTACTTCGCTCTAGAAAAGCTCCAGGGAGAAATTTATGTCGCCCTCGATTTTCAGTAAAATTCCCCAATTTCTCATGATTTTTGAAAAATTCTCGATCCAAATGCAAAAAAATTCCATTCTCAATTTTAATCAGATATTCAACGAAATAAAAAACATGTTATCATGTTTATCCCCGAATTCAGACTTGAATTGTCCACCGTCTTATTCTCCAACATTAAAATTGCAAGACAAGGTGTACTGTAAGCATGATAAGCAAGAAACAAGAAAAAAACTTGATTTTGTGATGTTTGTTTATTTTCTAACATCTTTGTTATTGAAATTGTAGAAGGCGCCCTTTTTTCTTTCAAAACTCTTATCATCTGCCTAATCTAATCATCTACCTAATCCATATTAATATGCAATTTGGGTTTTGAAATCTAATATTTACTGACATGACTGATAGATATCAAAATTTGATGCTTCATTAAAAAAATCTCATTTCTTTTCAAAAGTTGCATAATGTAACTGGAATCCTCTTGTATTTAAACTACGTACAAAGTTTATTTTTTGTAGTCAGCCGGGAACCAGCACAATGATGAATAACCTACAAAATGTAGTCTGTTTTTCGTTCAGGATTTGGTGTTATATAGACTGCTGCATGTGCTATGACATGTATGATTTAGCTAATGGTCCTTTAAACAATATTGTGATGAATACATTTAACATTAATTTACTAAAGGACAACACTTAACTTCAAAGACAACACTTAACTTCCAGAGTTGTATATTTTTGTAAACTATGAAGTACGAATTTTCCACCACATCTGGCACAGTATTTGTTTTTGATTTACAAGTACTTAATTCAATTTCCGGTAATGACATTTACAACTTTTCCAATGTTACTTTTTATAATTTTGTCACATTTTAACACTCCTGAAGTGTTTTAGAATCATTTAGAATCATTTTCAATGTCTACTTGATGACATCTTCGCTAGCCAAGGGTTACGATCCACTTCCCTCCTCTCCACCCTTGGCGGATTGAGATAGAATTTCGGAGACACAAGGTAATGATTTTCATTGGTTGCAGTCGAAACTCGCTGCATCCAATCAAAAAGTGCCTATAACATGATCATGTGTAAATGTAGAAAGTGTATGTAAACAATTGCCACGTGCTTATTGTGCAACAAGCCTTTACATCCCTAAACATACAACTATATTTAGTGACAATTTGAATGTTTTTAATCAATTGATAGAAGTTCCTGTGTATGTTTCTTGCACAAATGCATGAATGTCAACGTATATTTTCGTTTCCTGCTTTACCGAGTGTGTAGAATCTAGACGCTACCGTGTTTTTACCTCCAAATTGAAGAGTTCAAGTGCTACCATTGGTCATGAATAATGTATTCGGAATGGGCGTGACTTTAATCTACCGATAGATGGCGCAACATTGTTATCACAAATGTTGGTTTAATCTGCCAAGGGTGGAGAGGAGGGAAGTGGATCGTAACCCTTGGCTAGGGAAGATGACTTGATGATAGAAAACAGCCTTTTCCTTGAAAAAAACACAAACAATCGCACACGATTTGAAATTAACAAGAGTTTTACTACACGTTTTCAGCAAGTGACAAAAATTTTTTTTTCTGAATTCTTTTTAAGAATAAAGAACAAATATATTTGTTTATTCATTATGAAATGGCAATAAAAGACAGTGAAACCATATTCAAGATATATAGACTTACTTATCAATTAATAATTATTATTTTTCTTGCTTTATTTAAACACAATTATGAGCAATTGAAAATAGACTTTTGATTGAAAAATCTTTGATCAGTTGCATCAAAATTTGACTAATTTCAAACTTCAATTCATTCAGTCCTAGCTGCAGAACCATAGCTCTTATGGTCCTTATATTTTTTGACAATTTGTGTCCGTAGGTATAAAAAAAGGGAAAGATGCTTAGAAAATTTAATTCTTAGAAAGTATTTATGCGATCCATCAATTTTCCCTGAAGTCTACCTGTTGGGGCTTCACTTCTCCCTGAAGTCTCCCTGTTGGGGCTTCACTTCTCCCTGAAGTCTACCTGTTGGGGCTTCACTTCTCCCTGAAGTCTCCCTGTTTGGTCTTCACTTCTAACTGTTTGGCTGCCAGGGAGAAGTCTTCCCTATAATTCTAAAGTGTGGTGACCCCTGGTACATTATGATTGTACATGTTTTATATATAAATAGCATATAAAATGTAAATGCAATTTTTGACATTAACAAATCAGTTTGCAAGCATTCATTAGGACATGTAGGACAACTTTACCAAACGTTGATGGAACTTGCTATGAAGTTTGACTTTCATAATTTTGCTTCCATTAATATCTCCCATCTAAGTGATTATAATAATGTTCTCCATATATTCATTGATATTGTATCTATATTATTTTATTTTACACCTACAAAAAAAAATTGGAAACAGGAAATGGGTCTAAGAGACAACAGCCTGACCAAATACATGTAGCAGAAAACAGCCCAAGGTCACTCAAGAAAATCCCGCACCTGGAGACAAGCTTTAGTTTGCCCCTAAACAATAATGTATACTAGCTTAGCGAAATGGACGCCACACTTAACTCTGAAAATGTACAATTCTCAATTCTCAATTTTAAATGAACCAAAAACTTAAGTAACACAAGACTAACAAAGGCTAGAGGTTCCTGACTAGTCAGATACAAACATGCGGTGGGCATGGTGGGGTTAAACATGTTTGTAAGATGTCAACCCTCCCCCCCCCTTTTATACCTCTAGCTACATGTAATGTTGACTAAACAAACGCACAGCAAGTTATTAGAGAAAAATAACATACATGTCGTTAGTGTGGGCTAAAATATAAAAAAACTGTGATAACATATGTATGTTACATGTTTCAAAGAGGCAATATACTTCCTTTACTTTGATAAATTGTATACAAGTTCTACATGTTCTATAGGTATTATTATAGTCTTTATGTATACTAAACTTTAGAAAGATATAACAGTTCATAGTTTGCCAATCATGTATAGTACACCTATGTTATTACAGAAAATATATGCCTGTAATAACTAATGGGTGTTATTACACCTTCTCTACATCTCTTCAAAGCCATTTCTCAGACATATATCACAATATATTTTAATTCATTGTAAGAAATAATGATCAGAGCATGCAATGAGGGTCTGCGCAAGATTCCAAGTAATTCCCTAGTGTCTCATTTAATAAGTTACATGCCTGTAATAACTAATAAAATTGAGAATGGAAATGGGGAATGTGTCAAAGAGACAACAACCCGACCATAGAGCAGACAACAGCCCAAGGCCACCAATGGGTCTTCAATGAAACTAAGCCTTGTTATTACAGCTTAGTGTATCCCTTAAAAGCCTTGTCTCATTGATTTACCATGGTTGATAAAAAATGTATTAATTGAATTGGAAATTTAATTATATAGGTTATGTATTAAGTTTCTGCGCAAAGTTTCAAGAAATCCCAAGAGCCTACTAAAAATAAAAATATTTTTGATGTATTAACCAATAACAAACATGTGTTACTACAGATTAAGAAAAAAAGAGCAGACAACTCATGAAAGTATCTATAATAACACATGTATGTTATTTTTTCTCTAATAACTTATTTAAGTGAGACCCTTGACTGTTGATTTTGCTGATCATGACATGTACAGCCACTATGACAAAATAGGAAATACCAGATTACATTAAACAATCAGAAAGCTCTGACAATGCTGTAAATTTACTACTATTCAATAGTCCTGTATTACTTTATCACCCACGAACAGTGAATTTTATCATTTTATGTGCAAAACTCAACAGGATCACTATCATGAGGGTTATTCCAGAAAAAAAATGTATGGGGGTTTGGGGGTTGGAAGGCAGTTTGTTTCAGCACCTGCCACCCAGACAATTGTAATTGAGAATCATAGTGCATTATAGTGTAAAAAGTTGATCTGATACCCATCACCCATGTATTATTAATATAAAGTGCCTTCCACCCCCCCCCCCCCCCCCTCCTTTGCTTTGAATATATATATATGACATGTAAGAAGGATTTGAGTGCACTGAAAATATTCTACGATACTTACATTTAAACTACATGCACAGTTCAAGCAACTTTCAAATGTTTGTCAAATGACTAATTAACATTGCTTAATCTAAACATGCTAAGTTCAATCAATTTATAAAACAATTATGTATAAGATAACACTTATAAAAGAAGATAATTTAGTATCCTTTAAATACATGAAGTAAGTAAATGCAAATATATTTTCAGAGAAATATGATTATGTTGGACGGTTACTAAAGCCTGGAGAGACACCAAGAGAATATTCCGATACAGAAGATGAACATTCAGAAGACAAGAGCACAGAAGAGAAAAAGAAAGACTAGTTTGTTTTTGTTAAGTTGTTGACTGGTGCTATCTGCCATGTTTAAGCCAACTAATCTGTCTGGACCACATTGACATGTAATAAATCCAAATTAGTGCTGTCCTTTTTATAGTAGTCCTGAATCATTAGCACTTAATCCAAAAATGTTGTTGTTTATATGTTATGTCCAAGACATAAAGGTCTTTTAGAATAATGTGATTTAAACATGTTGACGCTAAAGCGTTAGATTAACAATGATTCATGATTTAGATATCTTGACCATATCAAGGATTTACATACATAGTTTTTGTGGTCAGTTGTTGCAACTTAAATGAAAGAAAAGTATTTATTAAAAATCTTGTACACGATTGTCAAACTGCTTTTAGTCTTATTTTAATTTTTTTTTTTACTTTTTCATATTGTATAAATGTATATGCTATTTATATTAAATGAGTATTACATGTATGTTATTTGTATCAATTTTGGGGGATCATATTGTGCAATGATGTGGCTGGTTTATTTTGCTATAGCTTGCTTTGATATATACTAGTAGTAAAACTACTTACAGGTTACCTGATCATCATGCATATTTCAAAATATAATATTTTTCGTCTGAACTAACATAAATATTTAAGAAGTGATCATTTCCAAATTAGCAAAGTGTAAAACCTTTTCTGAATAGAAATAAAGCTTTCTTTCTGAGCAGTTTGATCAAATCATGCTAGCATGGAAAGACACCAAGAATTTTTCCCACAAGCAAATTAATTTCACTATCTTTTCTTCATTATTTGTCCCTCAAGGCTTTGATATATCTGTTACCTGATTCTTAAAAAAAAAAAAAAAATTGATGGAGCAGCTTCAATGGCTAATTTTACCATATCATATCTTGTCATCGCTTAGTAGAAGGAAACAAGATAGTACCTTAACAGTATGTATCTAAGTGCCTGATTTTAATTCCTTCCTATTACCAGATGAACAAAGGAAGGCTAGGCTGCTGAGTTGACTAAGTAGGTAGATTAATGAGATCTTCTTGTGACTACCTTTGTGTTGTATTGTATCACATATATCTTATTAGCTGATATATTTATAATCATTTTTCAAATTGAAGATTAGCTTTAATTATCCATGTCGCTCTATGTTAAAAGCTGACACCAGAAATATTAAATTCTTTGTATTTTATGAAGTCTGTTCATTCACTGATGCAGAAAACTCAATTTGATTTAAGATGCATTTTGAAAGGTTGTCTTTTTTCAATATTGATAATTTAAAAAAATTTTTTTTTTATTTATTCCAGATACAATTTACCATGTTTAACATATGAGCTGCACATATGAGCAGCGTCGGAAAGAAATCGACCTTATACAAGTGCACGTATACATGTACATGTATAAGACTTTGATTGATTTTGGAACATTCCAATACGAAATAAAGATGAATTTTGGTCTGTTTTGTAGGGTTCTTATAACAACTCAATTTTCAAAGAGTTACAAACTTTGCATTTGTAGAGAATTTTTACACCCGATATAGGTTAACAGATGTATTGATATTCATTTGCATCAGGTCAATTTCTATCCTACGCAGCTCATAGATTGTTTCTCTTCAAATGAGATATAGTAACTAGTTCTAAACAACAGCAAGAGCAATTATGGAAACGGTACAAATTAATTTACTATTATGTTATTTAAAACTACAATTATGTAAGCTTATAGTTTAATATATCCAGTGCTTTAATTGTTTAACTATAGTATGTTGTTTACTGCTCTAGTGTCGGAAATATACAGATTGCTTTAAACTGGATAATTATGATAATTCTAAATAAGGAAGCTTTTGCTGTACATTTACAAAAAAAGACATTAGGTTAAATGTTGCCAGAATGTTTTTAAGCTACTGTTTGGGTGAGTTAAGTAAATTTTGTAGAAAAGAAACAACAAAATTTAATGAAAAAAATTGAAAAAAAAGATTCAATAGTTTCAATTTGATATTTAAAAATAAAAAAATAAAATGGGTCATGCTTTCTCATGTCTATGCTTTACAGTAAACGATGTAACTCTCCAGTAAAATCTTTGAAATTACTTCCCTTATAAAACAAATTAAAAGACTGAATAGATAGATAAATTTCTTTGATTAAGTGATATAATGTTCTTTTCGTGCACTTTATTTTGCCATCTATTTAGGAAATATGTTCAAAAACGACATGTCTTTTAACAACCGTATTTCTAAAAATGAAAGCTTTGGAGACAACCATGTCATTTAGAAGCTGACAACAAATTTGCTGTTGTAGGATCATATTGCATAATATATTCCACAGGTACTGTTTTTGAATTATTCACTCTTAGGTTCAAGGTACATAAAAGCATAATTTTGTATAATGTCACTGTTTAAATAGTAGATGGTATAGGATTATAGTGTGTCAAAGTAGAACAATCATTTCGCTGAGATTTGTTATTTTCATTTTGTTTGCTTGGTTTTTTTTTTCATTTGTTTTTTTCATTGAAAGATCTCTTTTCTGTATTATTTTATTTTGTGACATTCCATAAAGTTTTTGCATATTTCTGTAAATGAGTGGTTTGAAAATATAAGTGTATGATAAGTGTAAGTTTTAACCCCTCATGTGTAAATGTTTTGTGTTTTGCACAAGAACCAGTATGACTACTGGACAATAGATGATAGATAAAACAGGTTTTAAATAGGAGAATGATATTTGAAAAAATATGAACTGTAATCTTGGTAACTCGGCTGGCTTGTCTTTGTTAATAATAATTTCTGATTAGATGTAAACAGCTGTTAGCAGTATTGTTGATATTCTTAAAATTTTGATGTTTTCGGTAAAAAAAATAATAATTAATGAAACAGAATGTTTTCAGCATATAATAAAATAAAATAAAGGTTTAAAGATTTTCCCTGTTCTAAATTTAAAAGCATCAAATCTTCTGTGTAATACACTTTTAGTATCAGAAATTTTTTTGCAATATTGGGAGTATTTCCCCCAATTATAAGTCAGTCATTTTCTGTTCAGATTTAAATGACCTTTAAGTGAAATGTTGAAAGGACAATAGAAAATCAATTATAAATGAAGATAATGCAATATAATTATGATGTTAGTTGTCCAGTTGTTTTAAAATGCACGTGAATAGAAAGGTTTGCATTAATGAGACAGGAAGCCAAGGACACAAATAAACAAATGACATCCATAGGTCAATTTGCAGTCTTCAATAACAGTCAGCCATTCAATATGACAGACTCTAAATTACCCCTTCTGAAAGAAATAGATGAGACTAAATAAAATGAAGCTATTTATAATATACCTTCAACACCAAATGCAACAAAAAACCCAAGTAGATTCGATTTAATCGAAATTATAGATTTAACAGTCCTTTTGTAAATTTACTGTTAATGTACCTCCATCTTACAAAAAAGATCTCTTATGTGAACCACAAATTCCTTTAAGCAATTATGAATAAAGAAACAACATGGTCAGTTTCTCTTGCCATCATTGCATTACCTGTTCCAGGGTTTGGTTTGCTAGTGATGACAGTTGACTCTCTATATATCTTTGGTAAACATAAGTGGATTTGGATTTCATTGTCCACCAGAAACATTAACCAGAATAATTCAGTCCATCCCATTTATCGATCTCTCCAACTTCCAAGGACTTGAATTTCTAACACACATCACAAATCCTGGATTTTGACTGGTGCCCTGTAGAAGAGGTGACCAATCAGCGTTCAGCTGAATTTTTTTGAGATAGGTAAATCCTGAGCTAATTCCAAATGATTGATTGAAAATTTTTCATTGTCTATGCATTCAGGAGTTAATATAGTAATCGTAGATCAGCAGAATTTAACGACTGGATTATTCTGGTTACAGAAACATAAGCAAATATTACTTTGTTGGTCTTTAAACACTCTTCGATAGATCAATTGTAATAGCCTAGTTTATAAAACTGGTTTCAAATAATGCAGATTTCACATATTTCTGGTTTAAATTTTATTGTATCATATTTCTCATAATTTATTGCCGAGAGGTATTTGTACTATTTAACAGAGATGCATGTTCAGAGTAGTTTTTTTCCAACACATAAGGTATCTCAATCTGAAATCGACAAAGGATTTGAATCCCAAGGAGCAATAACACTTTGTTCAGTGCTATTCCAAAGTGAAATCTGGTTCGGATTCCCATGGAGGATTATGCTCCGTGGTAATTAGGTCCAGATTTTACTTACCATGTTGCGGTATTGGGAAATTCCTCCACCGGATTGGGATCCCTCTGCAGATTTTCAATCTGGATACCTGATGTGTTCAAGTGGATTTTTAAGAATTAGACCAAAGTTGATTGTACATGTATGTTGTGCCATATGAATTTTATGTTTTGTAATTTTATGCAGGGGAGAGGGATTAACCACCGTAAGGAAAGTATTCTTATGATGAATGGAAAAACCGTAATGCCTAGAGATACTATTGAAGTTTATATTGTTATGGACTATCAATCCAATACAGATAAACATAACATTTTAAAGTCTTACTGGATACTGTAAGTTCAGAAATTATTGCATTTTTTTTTATTATTGTGATTTTTTAAAAATGAAAAAAAATACGAGATTAATTTTTGCGATTTTGGTAAATGCTGCATACAAATTGTTCAATAAGAATTTTAAATGTGATTTTTTTTTGTAAGACCTATTCTGTTACAATTTTCAGAATAATAAAAACATTTGAAAAATTTCTGAATTTACAGTATTAATTTTTTAAGTATGTAAATCATGGTACCATGGTGGTATAATGCCCTCGGGAGAATACTGATGTGCAGTCTCTATTTTCAGACAAGCAGATGGTATGCCTAAAGTTAATCGAGACAAGAAATTAGCATAATATATCTACAAACCAAATACCATTAGTGTGGCTTTATTTGAACTCTCTGTCCCAGTACAATTGTACAATGCATATAATTTTGGGAGTAACAAAAATACTGTATCGAAATATTTTATTTGACTTGTGAATGATACACAGTCTTTCTCAGTAGCAGCAAGTTTAAAATAAGTGATAATTCACATTTGGTGATATCATGTATATAACTTGTACTGTGAAATTTTGCCATGTGCACAATTATTGCTTAAATGTGAATGTTTGGGTGAAAATAAAAAGGAGGATTTGCATTTTTTTAAAGACAATTTTATTGTTCTAGTCTGAGTGGAGTTGCACTGTATTGTGTGTGTTTGAGATGTATATATTGTTAAAGAGGTATGAAATATTTTGTTTTATAATATTCAATAAAATATATGATTCTCAAGTTGAACAAAGGTTGGGTAATTTATGTAGATTTGAATAAAAATTGTATATATATAAACACTTTTGAATTATAGATTTCTATGTTTTTGAAACATAAGAGAGTTTCCCAGTTACAATCTCATTGTAGGGCAATAGTCCTGATATGAGATGTTATTGAAGGTCAATAGTCCTGAGATGAGA